GTCAGTTATCTCTGACCAGACCTGGATCTCTTAAAAAAATGTGATTTTTTTGATTGGCTGAACGAATTGCAGTTCATTTTGAATCTCACAGTATTTCTTCTGTATCTGGACTAGGTAATTCCCCAAAACACTTTCAAGATGGCTGCTAGCACGTTTGCATGTTATCAACACTTGCAGTTAATATTCTTGTGAAAAAGAGGTGGCTTGTATGAGCATTTGTGGGAATCAAAGATGGCTGATACATACCCCTTAAATAACTTTACTCCTTGCATGTGTAGAGTGTTTGAGAATAATCCTTTGTAAAAAGAATCCCTTATGCTGTAGGGTTCTCTATAAATTACTCAAAAGATTTATAGAATAAGGCTTGAGGAAACAATGTATTTTCTGTAGGTTTCTAATTTGTGGTAGCAATTCAGTAGCTGGGTAATAATTACTACATTCTGTAAGATTGTTTAACAGAAAATCTCTAGACAAAAATTCAGTTATTAACTTGCACAGGACTTTTCCGTAAAGGATTTAATCTGGGGCTGTATTTACACAGCTCTAGAGCTTGGGTTTTAGCTGCAGTTATCCTTTAGCCCCCCCCCCTCCCCACACACACACACCTTTCCAGCAGGTTGCCTTCTCTGTATTTCATTGTGGCTGCTCCTGCCTCACCCACGTTCAGGTGGTTGGTTCTGTCAGCTCCTCTACTGCTGTCATCTGACATTTTTCTAAACTCCCCTTCTCCATATTTTGTTTTATTCCTTATTTTTTCCAAGGAATTGATCATACGTCATAGAGGGGACACTTAGGATATAAGCATGATGAGTGAGATAAGAGGATATGCCAGGCAAAAGAGTGGGACCAGATAAAAGATGAGTCACTGTCATTTTTAAAATGTAGCAGACAGAATTGGGAAAGAACAGGTGTTTGGTTTTAAGCTGTATTTAATACCAAACAACTGTTGCTATAACTTGGTTTTACTTTTTTCCAGAGTGTTTTCCTTCAAGTATTTTGATTAATATTGCCAAATTATTGCCAAACAGGCTTATTTGCTGCTTTCAAACCAGGCCCGTTCCTGTCAGTACGAAGCACGCTAGACCTCCTGATGGCTTCAGTGGGCACTCTGACTCCTGAACTCTTGTGAAATCGCATTTCGCCATGCGAATGCAACCAAAGGCTTTTACTCATCATTGCACTGACACAGTGTGTTCATACCAGAGTCCTGGTATGGGTGGGTGCATCAGATTATTTTAATTTGCATTTCTCTGTGTTTCAGAATTTTGGGGATGATGTAGCAAACCTCACTGTTTCACATCAAAAATTCCTGTTGGAGTGGGTGAGACTTTTCCAATAAATGACGTAGGTGTATGGTTAGTACGGCTGTGGCATCGGTGACATCATCGCTCCGTGGCAATGGAAACTGTCATGCTGATTGAGCGATAAAAACCCAGATTGACAGATAGATTGGGGAATGAGCAAATGTGATTCATCACTACTTTATCCCCAGGTATTGAGATGGCCACTGAGCATATTTGACTCACCTGTAAATCTGTATACTTTACAAATAGATACATATATGTACAGAGTTTGAAAATTAATTTTCACTGTCATCTAACTTTTCTTCCGTAATTGCTTTTACTTGACCAGCCAGGAAGCAGGTGACCCATCAGGTATGAATTGCCAATGGCTAATGAATAATAATCAAATGAATAGTTTGTAAATAACTTTTAACCTGAAAGCTGCTTGTCTTGAATATCTGATGATTTCTTACAAATCAAAATGTATTTTGCCTGGTTTGTTGAATATACACATACTTATTTATACATGCACAATTCGCAGTCCTTGTATAAATACACAGATATCCAGTTTCAGGCAGTGATATTTGAACAACTCTAGTTTGGATGAACAGCAATTGAGAAATTTAGCATAGATTAGCATAGTCAAACAAGATTTCTACAATTATAAATTGATGATGTAAAGTTTCAGTAATTTACTCTTGATATTGACAGAGCAATTTGGGACTAATCTATCTAAAGGAACAACTTTCATTTTTTTCAGGTGAATAGCACTTGCTTTTTGTCAGTAATTTCAGTCTGATTATCTCTTTCAATTTAAACATTTTAGCAGAAGAGATTTTCTAATAAGAAGTTGTTAACTGCTAAACAAATAGGCTGCAACAAGAAAGCACAATTCAATAAAGTTTTGTTTCCATTAGCTAAGCTTTCTCTTGGAGAATTCAAATATTTGCTGGGTCTCTATTCATCCTGCAGCAGTTATGAGAGAAAAGCTCTATAGGTAGAGTAGGTAATGGTTGGACTTAAGGGAAAAAAAAAAAAAGCATCACACACAAATAACATATGAAATAGAAGTTATTAAACTGTTTCTATAAAGTCAAAGTTACTAAGAGAAAATGGATCACAAAAGCAGATGCAGTTTTCTGTGGTTTAGTTCAGGTTTTTTAGTCAACAACAGGTTTTGAGAACCATGCAGATGAAAAGAGTTTAGTAGAACCTTCATTCCCTGCGTGTTTTGTTTTGTTTTGTGGGGTTTTTGTTTGTTAATTAGAGTCTTTAATCTGTTTTGGCATTTTAAACCTTTTGCAAACTCCGTCGATTGTTTCTCACTGCTACAGAACGCTCGACTGGCTGAAAACGCACTTTGATTTGAAAGCGAAATTCTTTTCAGAGAAACGTCTTGTTTTGCAGCTTCCCGGTTTAAGCGATACATAAAGACTCTAACTTTGCCGGGAGTTAGTGTGTGTCCCAGCATTAAAACAAGTCCTGGAACGATACATCTAAGCTACGCGAACGATTTAAAATAAAACCCCGGGGCGTAGGTTCACATTGTTTTCAGAGCAGGAGTCGAAACGCGAAAGGAAAGAGCCTAATTCCGACCGGCAACGGGAAGAAATCTGGAGGGCGGGGGGGGTGGGGGGTGGTGGGGCTGCCCGCAGCGCCGCTCCCGCGGCCCCCGGAGTCGCCCCTGACGACGCCGAGGTTCCACCTCCCGGCAGGTAGCGGGGCGGCCGGTGCTGCGGGGGCCACAACGGCTCCCGCCGAGCCGCTCGGGGCAGCCGCCGCGCAACCGCTCCCCGCCGCGCCGCAACAAAATCTGCCGGGTCGGGGCACGGCGGCAGCTCCGGCCGGGCGGGCATCAGCGCCGGGGGAACCGGCTGCTGCCTGAGGAGCGCGGCTCCCTCCGCCCCGTCCAGGTACTTGAGGGGAAGACGCCTCGGCCGAGGCTCCCGGTGCGGGGGGTGGGAGGCACCGCGGCGGGGGTTCCCCCCCCGCCCCAGGGCTGGAGCCGGGGTGCTGCCAGCCCGGCGCTCGGGCGGTCGGCTCGGGGCCCCGGCGCCCCCGCTGAGGGCGGGGGGTGCGGGGGGTGCGGGAGCCCCGCTGCCCGTCGGGCGAGGGGAGGCGAGGTGCAGGGCCGGGCGGCCCCCGGCCAGGTGAGCGCCGCCGCCTTGGGAGGAGGGCGGGGGTGCCGTGCCGCCGGCCCTGCCAGCCGCCCGGGCCACGAACGGTCCCCGCCGGTTGACGGGGCTGCGGGGCGAGGGGAGGGCGGCGGCGGGCTGCCCGCTGCCCCCGGGTTCCGTTAAGCGGGCAGGCGGCTCGGAGCAACGGGTCCCCAACGGTCGCGTCCCGCCCGGCCGGGCTGAGGGGAGCCCCGCGGCCGGTCAGAGATGCCGCCCCCTCCCCAATCCCCCCCCCGCCGACGTAAACTCCGGTGGACTCGAGCCTCCCCGCCCGCTTCTCGGCGGCGGCTGGCGCCCGAGGCAGGAGCGAGTTCGGGGCAAAAACGAAATACGTGGGGCGGGGGCTTCCAGCGCGGCTCTCGGCCCCGCTCCGTCCGGAGCCCGCCCTCGGGCTTCCCTTGGCCGGGCGTTCCCCCGGCGGCTGCCCCGCTGAGGGGCGCGGCAGCGCGGCCCGCCGGGACGGGCGGACGGGGTGGCGAGGCGTCGGCCGAGGGGCCGGCGGCGGTAGCGGGACGCTCCTTCGAGGGGAGCGCGGCCACCGTGGGGCTGCGGGACGGGAGCCCGCCGGCCCGGGGACCCCGGCGCGGGGTCGGGGTGGCGGCGGCTGGCCGGCGCGACGGGCTCCGCTGGTGAGCGGTGCCGGCCGTGCCTGCGGAGCTGGGCCGGGGGCGGCCCTGGAGCTACGGCGCACCGGAGGCAGAGGGAGCCCCTCGGGGGGCCGGAGGGCTCGGGGGGCCGGGGCTGAGGGGTAGGTGGCTGTAAGGGTGCTAAGTAGGGACTGGGCGGAGGCGGGGCTTAATTTGCTCAGGAACGATATGAGAGGGGCTGGAGCAGACACGTGTGATGTGGAGCTTCGAGGGGGGGACTGTGTGTCCCCATGGAGGAGCGGGGTTTTGATGCCCCCGCCCCCCCCCCCCAGGAGCAGAGGGGCAGCGCTCTGGCACCTTCGTTCCCAGCCGCCGCAGCGCGCCTGCCTTTTGATCTCGGTGGCTGGAAATATCTGTTTAAAATAACGAGGCCGCACAGGGAGGGTCTTTTTCTCGTGTCTGTCCCTGCGTTCCCTTTAGGTAACCGCTGTGCCGTAGCTCCTGTGTGCGCGCCGGGTAACGAGAGGACGGGAGGCAGCCTGGGAAGCGCTGGCTCCACCAGTGGGCGTTTACTGGCGGACGGGGCTGGTATGGGAAGCGGCACTGCAGTGATTTTATCTGCCTCTTTGCAGACGAGCACGCACATACGGGGCAATATTTGCCTCGGTCGAAGAAAACACAGGTTGTTGCTGTTTTCTTGCTTTGAATGCAAGGTTGGGAGCACGAGGAAAAGCGGACTTTAAAAGGGGATTGGAACCGCTTGGCGGTCAGTAGCGCCCTGTCCCCTCCGGCCTAAAGGGGGAACGGAAATGTGAGGACTTTATGAGGGCGGGGAGCCGGGGTGCGGAGGAAATATCGCCCGGGGGTGCCGGAGGGAACGGAGGACCGAACCGCGGTTGTCCCTTGCTCGCCTCCGTCCTTTTCTCGGCTTCCCCTTTCGCTTTACTCCGGTATATCTCCTAGACGTCCTGCCTTAAACTACCGCGAAAGGGAGGGAAGAGCGGAAGCATGTCCAACCCGGAGAAGGGGATCTTATCCCGCCCCTCGGCCCCCCTGGCTGCAGCACCCGGGGAAGAGCCCGGCTCCGGCAGCCGCCCGCTCCACTCCCATGGCCAGAGCGGCGGAGGTGGAGGCAGCGGCGGGTCTCCTCCTCCTCCTCCCCCCGCTCCCGGAGGCGGCTCGGCTGCCTGCAGCTCCCTCTCTCTCCTCCTAACAACCACCAGCAGCAGCAGCGGGAGCCGCGCTGCAGGGACAGCCTCCTCCGCCGCCTCCGCCAGCATCGTCCCCAGAGCGGCAGCGGCTCCTTTTCTCGCTCCAATCCCCTCCTTTTCCTCCGCTTCTCCATCTTCTTTTTACTTCTTGCCGCCGCCTCCTCGTTTCCCCTCCTCGTCTTCCTTTAACCTCCCAAGTCTCCAAGGGAGGGAAGGAGGAGGAGAGGCAGCGAGAGCGGCAGCAGGAGGAGGAGGAGGAGGAGGAGGAAGAGATGTTGGCGGAGCAGCAGCAGCAGCTCACTTGATCGCCCATCCAGGCGGCAGCGGCAGGAGGAGACTCTTCTGTTCTTCCTCCATCCAGGGCTTGCTGCTCCGTTCCGCAGCCGGCGGCCCCCGGCAGCACCACTCCCGGCTCCTCCTCTCCCCAGCCGCCTCTCGCCCGTGGTCCTGCAATTCCCCCGGTGCTGCAGCAGCCCGCGGCGACGGGATCCGAGGAGGCGACGGCCCCGGCGGGAGCAGGACTCCTAGGCGGCAGCAGCGGCAGAGAGGCGCCTTCTTCTCCTTCCCGGCTCCCCTGCTCCTAGGGCCAGACATGGAAGATGGATCTAATTCTGCAAGCTGCTTTAGGAGGTTTACGGACTGTTTCTTGAACACAAGTAGGTACTGGAACGCTGTGCCTGGCGGCGGGTCGCGCGTGTCTCGGGGGGAGGCGAAGGGCAGTGTCCGAGGCTGGGTGCATGCCTTGAGGAAAGGGCATGTCTTTGTGAGTGATGGGGAGGCGAAGACACAAAGGGGCCGTTTACGTGGGGCGTGCGTGGACGCATGGAGGAGCGGTCGGGTGTGTACTGAGGATGCACGGACAAAGGGGATGCTCAATGTAGCCGAGTGCTCTTTGTGGGAGCTGGCTGTTAACGCCTTGGGGATTTCGGCATCGTTTCGGGATCGGACGACTCTACGTACTCGTGTGCCAGCCTTTTACTCGGTGCATGCTTAATTTGCTCAGGAACGATAGGTAGGGGAATGGAGACTTTCCCCCCTACTTGCTACTTGAAGTAGCAATAAGGAGGCGTTATGGTATCGACAGTTGACAGAAAAGCAGCAGCGGCAGACCGGAAAGGGCGAAATGTATCGCTGCTGTCTGCATCCCCTGTCAGACCTGCCCCACGCGGGCAAATTCCGTGTTTCTGACCGGGCTTCCGTACTGGGTGCCTTCTGCTCCTGGCCGCGGCTCATTGCAAGGCGGGCGAGCAGCCGGAGAAGGAAACATGTGCTCTTTGCGGTGGGGGGCTAGCGCTGAAACGGGGGTAGCGACCGGCTGGCGGGGAGGGCGGAATAAAGGGGGCTTTGGGGCGCTCCGCAGCGAGCCCCTTCCGCTGCCGGCGAACCTCTCGCAGGTTCCCCCCGAGCCCGAAGGCGGGGGAAGGGCGCGGGGCCGCGCTCGCCCCGTGTCGGGAGGCGGGAGTGGGGCGAGAGCAGCCGCTCGACCTCCCGGTGCGGGGCTCGGCGAGTGCCCCCCCCCGCCCCCCGCGCCGTGGGGCGGCTGAGCCGGGCCGTGAGAGGGGGGAGAAACTCCCCCTTCGCAGGGACGCGGCCCGGCTGCCCCACGGGTGTCTCGCCCGGAGCCTGCCTCTGCCGCCTTCCTCTCTCCGAGGCGTTTCGCCGACCCACCGCGCCCCGGCGGGTGGGCGCCCCGGCGGGTGGGCGCCCCGGCGGGTGGGCGCCCCGGCCTGGGGCGCCCCCGGAGCGGCGGGGGCCTCCGGCCGAACCCTCCCGGGGCCGGGCGCCCGCTCCCGCCCGCCGGCCGCGGCTCCAGCGCCCCGCCGGGAGGTGTGCTGGGGCTCCCGTGCTCACGGGAGCGATGCATTTCCACGCGGTGCCTGTATCTGGCCTGAAATACATCTTTTTTTTTTTTTTTTTTTTTTTTTTTTTTCCCACCTCTCCTCATGTTTTGATGCTTAGGGTGACTTCAAGCATCTGTGTTTTTTTTTTTTTTTTGTTGTTGTTAGTTTTGTTTTGTGTTTTTTCTTCTTCTTTTTGTGACAATTTCTTAAATCATGGATTTATACCTTAAAGTGTCCCTAAACTTGCATTTTAATCTCTTAATTAGGTGACTTGTGGAATACAGGTGGGTAATACGTACCTCACACATATATTTTGGGGGGATGTGAGAACTATAGAAATGTCAGCTGAAACCTCATTATTTGTCTTAATGCCTTACAGCTGTCTTTAGCACAATAGCCTGCAAACGTGGTAGTACTTGTTCTGTTCTACGGCAGAGGTGACTAAAGATGACTACATATTTGCTGCTGCGTTGTCTGCTTGAAACTTTATTCAATAGTTGATTATGTTACAGAACCATGTACATGTTTAGTTTTGAGGCCTGAACGAGAATCCTCAGCTCTTCCAGTTTTTATTTACGCTGTGTTTGAGAGGGGCAGAATGCTGTTGTGTGTGGTACAACTCTCTTAAAATAAGTGGTGTTGGGAGCAAGGGACCAAGTCAGGGAATGTGTGTCAAGTAGGGCAATTCTCTCCTGTGCTAGACCAAGAAAAAGGTGACACAGAAAACATCAGCACTGTTTAAAACACCACTTTGAAAGTAGTGGTGAATTCAACTTCAGCTATTTTATGAACGCTTGACTTGAACACAAGAAAGCTGGTCATCTTTGACTGATTGTGACCTCTGACTGAAGATTTTCCTGCAGGCAGGAAAGGAACAGAATGGTTCTTTACCAGCCTCTCTCTCTGTGGAGACACTTTTCCATGGTCTGCAGCCTGCTCTCAAGAAACTTTCAAGAGCCTCAATGTCCGATATCTCTACTCTTCTGAATGTGATTGAAGCTGGCCAATGGGCTCAAAAGGTATTGGTGAGGTCAGATGGACAGACATCCACGTGCGTGCGTATATACATATGCGTACACTTCCCTCCCTCCCTGAGTGATTGCATAAGTCTGATTTCCTTAGGAAACCAGGCTGAAAAAAGGAGTGGAGGGAAGTCAAACAAGATACTGTTCAGTTCCAGTGCAGCTACTGCAAAGAGCACTTGTCCAGCTGTTCGGAGTGCTGTGCACAGTCCCTGTTACAGTGCAGCCGGAAGGCTATTATTGTTTTGAAGCGGATGAGATCATCTAGAATAATGAAGATAATGTGCTGCATCTCATAGCTTTTGTTTCCTGAATTGTATTTTAGGTTCTAAACCGTACATGTATAAGTATACGCACTGTGTGACTTTAAAGACAAAGAAGTCTGAGTTCTGTAGGGAAGAGAATTGAGGTGAGCTCTTTAGGAAGAGAGATTTAAAAGTGACTTAACAGGGTCCTCAAGACTGGAGAACAATGAAATTGCTAGAGATGTAGTCTTTCTCCTCTGAGCTCTTCCAACTTGCATGCTCTCTGTTCAGGATTAGATTAGAAGGGTTTTGATACTATTAACATCTTAGGTTCTGCAGTACTCAGTTTGTGCAATATCTGGGTATTTTTGTGTTTAAGATTCCTAATAAAGCACTGGGCTGGACTGCAGAAGCTTATATGAACTTTATGTGGTGTGTGTTGTTTTTCTTAACTGTTTAGAATTTGTAAATTGGTGCATAACATGGTGTTTTGAGAAAATGTTATTATCTGACATCCTGGATCAATTATCCAGTGGTGTTCTACCATATTTAGGATGATGCGAGCTGCCACGTATTCCAGGTTTCTGTGAAATGACTTACCTTCAGAGGAATATTCCATGTTCCTTCTACACTCAAGGTCTCCCAAGCTGCGCATACGTAGCACATATCATCTATGTCCTGTGATTCTACTCACAGGTATGAGTATTTTACAGTATGGGGGCTTTCTGCTTGTCAGAGTATTATCAGTATATTGATCTTTTATACAGTTACCGTTTTGTTGTTGTTTTTCTTGTCTGCTTGTTTGTTTGTTGTTTTTGTGTTGTGTTTTTTGTTTTGTTTTGTTTTTTGTGATGCAGCAAGTTTATCCTGCATCTTCAGATGTCAGATGCTAGGACTTTCTGGTTGAGTTTTAATCTAAGGATGAGTAAATGTAGTAAGATCTCTAGTTGCAGAAGAAAATAGCAATTAAGGTTTACATAAAGTGCAAAGTATTCCTGTTGTCTGCATTAATGGGAAAGTTAATCTTAGCTTGACTTTTTTTAACCTGATCTGTGTATTCACTACTTGGCAATCAGGGTTTTGTAAGCCAAATGCTGATCTTCAGCAATTAATCCCATGTGTAAAGGTGGATGGGGTTTGGTTTTCAAATTAAATCATACTTAAAATTTAGATGCTGAAGTGGAAAATGGAATTGTCTCTGGTTTTCACCCTAGGGATTCTAGCTCCACATTAATTGAAAGCAAAATTGTCACTAAAGCAGTGTATAGTTATGATAAGTAATGTCATTCAGCAGCTTGCATTGGAACTGGCATTCCATAATTCCACATTTTCCATTAATGTATAAGGAACACCATGTATCGTGGTCTGAAGCCCTGCCATGCTGTTTAGAGGGATAGTGAACAAATGTATAGGGCAGACAGCAAGGAATGGCACGGAAAGGGAATGGAAACTGTGTGGGCACAAGCAGCTGACAGCGAAGGAGGGTTTGCTTGTCCAAGCCCGGTATTTTTACAAACAGCTGTCTATAAAGCATGCGGTCTGCATTTGAAATAACTAATCCTCTGTCCCCTTTGACTCCTCAGCTCTGCTGCCCGTGTTTGCCTGGTGGCTTGCGGGTAGGTAGCGCTCGTGGGCCTTGAGAAAGGAGGTGATGCCTTCTCTGCTAACTCCGTAAGCTTGCTCCTTGGGTGAAATGGGCTGTAGAAGGTGTGATGATGCAGAGGGATAGTGTAGGTGAGTCGGGAGATGGTTTCTTGTTGTCACTTGTGTGAGGAGGATGGCAGCTCATTTAAGATTCTTAACACAAGACTGGTGGCTCCAATTACCCTGTTTGTGTCCTTGGTCCTTTTGCTCATGTTTAAGCCATACTCATCAGCTGGACATGGTGAAAACCTGCAAGCATAAAGATGAGCTTTTATTTCAGCATATAGATGAATTAGTGACTTGATTTTGAAACAGCCATGTAAACGCTCGTTTTCACTAATGATCTCTGGTGTATTACTTGTCTTACTTGCTTTTAAATCTTCTGTTGTACAGATCAATACAACAGTACCTTTTGTTCAGTTTTAGGATTTTGTGCTACATTCTAATACAAATAGATTTTACCCAACATCCTCTCAATATTCTCAAATCATGAGCTTAGTTTTAGATTCGGGAAATAAGAATGAGTGTGTGTGTATTTATAACTTGGAAGTGGCTCATGCAGCTTGTTGGTCGATATTAACCTTGTCTGTGATTAAAATTGTATTTCAGTTTGGTGAGGCTAATATGAGCTAATTTTTTTAATGCTACTTTAAAAAGTATTTTAGTTGCAAGTCATTATGTTTAATACTTTAAAATTCAATGTTCTTTACAGTGTTATAGTTTTTGTACTTCTGGCACTTATATTCTAAAAGAAAGCTGATATCATAAGTAAAAAAAAAGTATAATTAAAAAGGGCCGCTTGTTTTTTGTTTGGTTGTTTGTTTTTTTTATTTTTTTTTCTTTTATTTTATTTTTATACTCCCTCTGCTGGCTGCTTGAATTACGAGTACCTGTACTCAAACTC